TTTTGCACTGATGCTACTCTTTATTTTCCACTCTTTTTGTGAAATACAGAGACAATTTCTGAGCAAAGTCTTTCAGGAAAGAGCTTTACTCAAAATCACTAGTCCTCTGTCTAGCACAATAAGAGCAGAGAATGCAAATTAGTTTCAATAAAAGCAGCTGGCAATCAATACGAAAGGGTTGGTGTCCAAGTGTAAAACTGGTTCCTCTAAGGATAAGAGTTAAAAGGCGGAAAACATAAGAAGATGAATAAAGGATGAACGAATGTGAACAACATGGGGGGTGCACAGGAGAAAAATCTAACAATGCAATTAAAAATAAAATAAGACAAACTGACAAAGAACAGTTGGGCATAAATAGGAAAGAAAAATACAGATACCTACAGTGCAAAGAAAAGTATAATGAGAAAAGTCTAATGGAAAATGTGCAATCCAAACAAGATAAAATAAAAATCATGAAAGGGATCGGATAAGAGCCAAGCTGGCACTAAGGCTTAGGGCACGAGTTCACGTTCTATCCTGGTTCACAGGCTTTAGTAAGTCCAAAGTAAGTTTCAGCATTCCTGCTACCACACATTTGGCCATTTCGCAAAACCTTGTACACTTGTCTCCTTTGACCTTCTGCTATAAAGCAGAAAGTCAATACCCACCTGAGTGGCTCAGAACCTACCCAGTCTGCATGCAGTCAGACTCCTTTTCTAAATCTGTTTACCTCCAGGTCCACAGGCACCTGCAGAAGACTGAGAGAAGCCCACCCTTATTGTTACTACCTATTTAAAGAAAAAAAAATTCCTCAAGGTTGACACTTTCACTGAATTTCTGTATTACTGTCTCATTTTTATAAGCCCAGTAGAGAATGCATTATGGTCTTGGAAGCAGCCTTCCCTTGCAGCTGCTATAGACAGAGGCAAATAGAAGTGTTGCAGCACTGTTAGCAACCTCCACTCAAAAGAAACCCAAAAATCAAGTGTCTTGCATACTGCAAGTCAGTGTCACAAATCACTTACCCTCCATGTTCCATCTAGAAGCCCAGCTCCAGTTTCTGGTTTTATCAACATCTCCCACTGAATGCTTGGTTAACATGGAACTATGGTCTCTGTCTTGCATGTGCCTTTAATACTACATACGAGCAAACAGGAAGGCAAACAGATACTTTGCTCAGAAGCTTTTTGTCCACAAAGCATCTCAGCACAAAACTACACAATGTAACTCCTTTGACCCCCAAGAATGTAGCCCCCATCAATGAAGTAGCTATTTAAATAGCATACATTTACACAGGGTGGAAAGCGGTGTTTTGTACAAACACATGAAACTGCAGTGGAAAGTCCTGTCACTGCACACTATCTTATTTAGATTAAGTTTTGACCAGCATGTTGATGGACTAGAAAGATAAGTCTCTGTCAAGTTGCTAATATACTTAAAATTACACTTGCATTTTCAGAACTTTAGTACTTTGATAGGGCATGCCCTATATTTTGAGAAATTCTACAACATTTCTAATGACAACAGGCAACAGAAACTTCTGGGTACATTGACATCCAAAAGCGCAGAGCTTGGACATTTAAGAGAGAAAGAAGTGACTAACTTCTCTGCACCTAAAACTGGTGTACAAGACAAAAAACAAAGAAGGATGAAAACAAACAAAAAAACCCCACCAAACCTAAACAACCCTGAAATTAAACCAGTGATAGGGCAAAAGACAACAAAGAGAATACCAACACACATTCTCATCCCCTCAGGATACACGTGTGCCTAAAGGACTCAAATACCTGACCTCTGGCTGTTTGCCCCACTCAATATACAAAGCCTGGTTCCTCTGTTGCCTACAGCAATTATTTTAGGGTTTGTCTTAACAAATAAAAATATCTCTCTCCATCTAAAAAAAAAAAAAAAAAAAAAAGGCAGGGTTTTACATCTATGAATTCATGGCCTGTCACTACTGCTAAGACAATTAGAGCATTTTAAAACCATGTTTCCATAAGGTAGGGAGCAGTTAAGACCTTTATATACTGAAAGAGATGCCCTTCCACATTAGCATGGCCTATTAGCCACAAACAGGATTAAGAGCTCAGCAAATCCTCACAGAGCCTACATCTGTTAACATAACTCTTTCCCATAATGAGCAAAAACAAAGGTAACTTCTCAGTTTTATGGAGCACTTACTCTAAAGCTGTTACTGCTATAATTAAAAAAACAAACAAACAAAACAAACCAACCAAAAACCAAAAAGGCAGACACGTAAAACAACACAGTCATGGAGACCACTCAGGATCTCTCACCCTGTGAAGAATAACCTCACCTGGTTACAGAACTTGTGGTCTTACAGCCCTGCCATTGCTCTGGTGGCCCTGTACAGCAATCAGCCCTGGGGAAATCTCCAGAGAAGACAACAGTCAAGATCTCTTTGTTGGACATTTCTCCAAGCATGACAGGATTTCCATAATCAGTCAAAAACTAGAGAAATCCATACTGGCATGCAACACAAACTGCACATCATGGACAACAATCCACCCATAAGACATCAATCCACCCATATATGTTTCTTTCAATCCATGATGGAGATATTAGTACAGAAATAAAGATCATTTTATTATGGAGCACCTGTACCAAAGCAGCTGAATCAAGAGATGCCAGATCCATTCTTGAAGGGCTCAGATGGCTTTGGGAGTAGCTGGAGCACAGGTGTAGCTGTACAAGCAAAACCCAGCCCAGTTCAGGAGAGAGAATTAGTGGTCAGTTTCCTCAAACCCTGATACTACTGTAAAAGATCAATGTATCTCTCTCTGAGTGCGGTCCCTAAGACAGCAGTGCTGCCTGCTCAATCTGGACTCCTGTGACTCCTCACGGAGAAATTCCTTCATCATCTCTTCACCACTGCTTCTTGGTGGGACCCCCACCACCAGGACAAGCCTTGCTGAGCTTCAAGGTGACAGGCAAAGGAGAAAGACAATGAAGGAGGAAAATTTGTAACAAAACCAAACAAGGAAACTGCATTACATTGCCACGATCAAAGATTTAGTGTATAGTTTAGCTACCATCCAATAAGAACATAGGTCCTATCACCTAATCAGGATGTATATCTTATATATATGCAAAAGCATTACCCTTTTCATTTAATGCATGAAAAAACATTATTTGATTTTTCAAAACATATTGAAGTTATTTTGCTAGCATATGGACATAGCAGCAACCAGTGAGCATATAGTCCTCTCTCACACTATTACCGCACGCACACATCCAAACAAGCAGCGAGGAGCCCGTGATCAGCTAGGGAGCACGATGGAGGGTTGTCACCTCACACAGGCCAACTTCCACCTGTGTCTGATGCTCTGGGGTAGATACAAAGCTCTGATAGTGTTCTACAAACAGGTGTGGACATGCGGCCACTACTAAACATCTTACGTCTCACACAAAGCAGACCCATCAGTCTGAGAACACCAATCACATCGCAAAAGCGTGTTATGTGTGTTAAGGACTCCCTAGGAGAGCTTTCCAATGTCCACTCTGGCAGCACCTGAAAATGCCCAGCTCTGCTAATGGTTTGTCTTTATTTCTGTATGTCTGCCAGTGCTGTCCACGCTGTTCTGAGCCACCATGCCTTTAGAGCCAAGAGCTCCACCAAAAACCCTCTCAAAAAGCAGAACAGAGACCTGTGCAAGTCCACGCTGGAAAAAGCAATAAAGAAACAGGTAGTTCCTACCTCTCCCAAAATATTGGGGGTATTTGACAGCTGTACCCAAAATTCCTGTTGGTAGGTATCCTTTCTATGTTTCCCACCAAGTATGAGGGAAACTAGGGGCTAAAATTGCTGTGACAAGGAGCAGTTCTTTTTTCTGACACCAATCAGTAAAATCAACAACAATTAAAAACAATCTAAAGTCAGTTTTCTTCTTAGCTTCAATTTAGGAGACCTGTATGTTATAAATAGGCCACTAAAAGGCAATTAAGAGAGTGAGGGAGAGCAAAAAGTTATTAAAAATGTACCAATGAGAAACTCATTTCACTTTTTTTTTAACAGGGCATCAGGGAATTCCTATAAGACTTCTAGTTCATTTGAAGGAGGAAATTCTGAACAAACCTAAAAATAATTGACAATCAGATTTTCAAAACTGAGAGAAATACAGATATCCCAAGAGGTCCGGCCCAGGGTGGTACTGCACGGATCGATAAAAATATACAAATTTCAGGCAGGACAGGAACCACAGAATGTAAATCTCTGTGACACGAGAAAATTTAAAGCAGTAGAGAAAATAAAACTATGAACCATTATCTACTTATAAACAGCAGAAAATAAATTTTTTTAAGGTAACCAACAATAAAGAGAACCACAAAACTACGCACCGAACTCACGTCAGCTCATCGCAGGGACAAAACACGCACAAAGAAGATACAAACCCCACGTTTTTACAATCAGAACAGATTGTTTTGATTCTATCCTGGGTCACCTTTTAATGCTTTCCTGAAATTTTTTTTTTTTCCCAACACGCTGCTTAAACACAGGTCTCAGTCGTTTCCCGGCACAACTGTACTCGCGACTGGGAACCGAAATTAGGTATATTAAAAAAAAAAAAAAAAAAGGCAAAACCACACAAATCCCGAAAGTCTTCTATGAGTCATCTGAACAGCTACTTTCCTCGTTAACCTCTCAGCGGTTCTGCTCGGGGGCTCAGCAGCGTGGCCCGGCGGCGGCTCCCGCCCGCCTGCGCCGAGCCAGGCTGGCTCCCGGCTCTTCGCCGCGGCACCCAGCCCGCCCGCCGCCTTCCAAAACTTTCCGGGCTTAACCGCGACGCCCCGGCCGCCGGGACGGAGCGCTCGGAGCCAAAGTCCGCGGGAAGTTGTCCCGCCTTGGAGCAGAGCCCGCTGCCCCGCGGCTCCCCCGGGACACCGCGGGCTCGACCCGCGCCCCGTCACAGCGCTCCCCGCCGCCCCCTTCCCAGCGCCTCCCGCACCCACCGGCCTCTCCCGGGACAGCGGGCGGGAGCGGGGCCGTCGCGCGCCCTTACTTGGAGTTGCGCTCGCCCGAGGGACGGGGAGGGACGGGCAGCGGCGGGAGAGGGGCAGACTCCGCAGCGCCGGCCGCCGGCAACTTCCCCGCTCCGCCGCCACACGTGGGGCTGGAGGCGCGGGCTGGCGCTCCCCGCCCGCCGCTCGGCGCCGAGGACGTGGCAGCTCCAGCCCTCCCTCCGTCCCTCCCCGGCCGCGCCAGAGGCTCCTCCCGGCCCCGCTCTGCGGAACGCGGGGCGCCCTCTGCCGCACGCCGAGGGACCCGCCGGCCCCCAGCCGCGCCCCGGCCCCGCCGCACGCCCGGGTAGCGCGGCGACAGGTTCTCCTGGAGGGAAGCGCTGCTGGCCTGGGAGCTTTGCGAGTCACGCCCGGTCCCCTCAGGTGTCGGGCCGCTGGCCGTGCGGGGCAGGCGCGCAGGAGGGGTTAGAGAGGTTAAAAAGGAGGATGCCAAAATAAGGTGACATCACAGAGGTTGCCTTCTTGCAGTATCAGCAGGAGGGAAGCGCCTGTTGAGTTGATCAGTCTGCGATAATGGGCCTAAAATAAAAATGGAGAGCAGGCCTCCAGGAACAGGGACTTGCTGAGGAGCCCCGTGGAATGCAGCCTGAATTGCTCTTACCTCTGTACCAGCAAGACCTCAAAACACCTGCAGCTGCTTCCCAGTTCAGGCTCACTCCACCAGAGACACTCTGCTTTCTTACTTAGGAGAAAAATCTCACTGTGTTTCTAAAACAGACAGTAGCTGTAACTGGTAGAAAAATAGAAGACCTCAGACATCTATTTGCATTTTCTTCTCGTCAGGATTACACATTTTGAAAATAAAAGACATTACTTGGGCTTCATGGTTGCAGAGTGCCTGACACATAGGTTTTCACTGAAAAGGTCAGTTGATAGGAATCTCACCCTTCTTCCAGGTTAATAATAGCTACAAAACTGTTTCCAAGCCTAGTGGTTTTCATCCTTTAAGTGTTTCCTGCGAGAGTGTTCATGACAGGCACCTTAGTGTAGCCTTAATATACCTTGTAATTGAGTGATATTAGACTGTAGTGTTGTTAACTCCTATTCTCTTCTTTCTGCTGAAAACATCCATTTCTTACAGTGCTGGGCAGATTTTTAATCTTGAGGTGCACTGCCAATCTGAGGTTAGAATCTGACTTTGAAGTCGTAAAGAACTGCTGTTGCTGATGTTCAAATAATGCTGAATCGCTGAGGGCTAAAGCAGAGAAGAAATAAAACCGTGTTTTTCTAAAACATCTCTCGCACTCTGGTTATCTCAAAGGGCTTTATGAAGTAATGTCAAGTAAAGGTGCACCTTTAAGCATACCAGCCATTCCATGCACAAATGTACCTTTGAATGCAGAAAATGTTGGCATTAGAGCTATCTGCTCATTTAGTAGGGCTATTATGTATGTTTAATGATCACTTGCAGCACCATGAGAAATGTCCAGTAATGGTCACCGATTAAAACCATTAAGGAAAGATAAATTCTGTGTATATATTAAATTCCTCCTTGGGCTGACTCTAGGTAAGAAAATGCAGCCAAGTAGATTTAAAATGAATGTGTGAATCTTTGCTACATATTCCGGTAAAGCTGCTAAACTTACAAAGTACGTAATTTGTTGGCTATTAAGTTATGTATGTATGCTAAAATTCTCCAGTAACAAACTATACCTGAATTTAAGTTTGAGCAACAGATCTGTCTAATGCAAGCTGGCACACAGTTGATTACTACTGATCACTCCAGCTTCAGTGACGCTCAGCAACAGGATGTTGCCATTTAGGAAACACAAATTCATTTCTAAGCTTTAAGCAGAAGGCAGTACGTGGGCCATATAGGATTTTCCAATCTGCATCTGTCCAGAATAGATATGATTAAGTGCATTTTTTTTAGCTATTGATTTATTCACCTGGCTTCCTCAAATGTCAGATATATGTATGTTTCTTGTCCAAGAAAAATAGGGCTCTTTGGAGTATTGATTGCAGCAGTGGAGTCTGCAGAACACCTGCAGGTTTGGTGCACATTTAAGACACTGGACTGTTCTTTAATAAACTGTGGTGGGTTGACCTTGGCTGGATGCCAGGTGCCCACCCAGCCACTCTATCACTACCTTTCCCAGCAGGACAGGGGAGAGAGTAAGATGGAAAACAACTTGTGGATTGGGATAAGACAGTTTAGTTGAAGCAAAAGCAAAGCGGAAGCTTGCACACGCGAAAGCAAAGCAAAAGATAACAAGGTTTATTCTCTACTTCCAATCAGCAGCAATGGTCAGCCACTCCCGAGAAGCAGGGCTTCAGTACACATGATGGTTTCTCAGCAGGCAGCCATTGGAGACAGTGAATACCTGCCTTCCTGCTCCTTGCCTTAGCTTTTGTATCTGAGCTGAGGTCATATGGTATGGAATATCCCTTTGGTCAGTTGGGATCAGCTGGCCTGCTTGTGTCCCCTCCCAGGATCTTGCCCTTGATTGAGGAAGGAATGTCACAGTGCTGATGCTGTGCTCAGCAATAGCCAAAACACCAGTGTGTTATCAATACCCTACAAGGGCCCTGTGAGGCCCTTTCCCTTGAGAATTTTTTCCTTCTCTGAGAACTTGGAAGGCAAAACCTTCCGGGTTATATCTTTCCCAATTTGCAAAACATTTCCTGATAATAAAAAACAAATGTTATTTGCCAAGACTCTTTGGATTTGTGATTTTCATAAACTCCAGCAGTTCTGGACTTCTTTTTCTCAAATGTGTGCTGGAGCTACAGCACTCTTACCACAGATACTTTCCACCTCTGTGCAGTTGCACCTCTGAGTTTTGCTAGTGTCTTTGCCTGTTAAGAACTCCTTACCTTTCTTTGATTTCTTTTTGGATCTACGCTTTCTTCATATTTACTCTGGACTCTTGTTCTCATTATTTTCTGTTCATACCATACTTCTGTGGGACGTCTCCTAAATCTCATCATCAGTCTTCTTTTTCTCATGTCAAATAGAGAGACTTAACATGGAAATCTCATATACAGTTACTTCAAACACTCAGACTAGATGATCTGTCAAGTTTTGGGTGGGATGGATATGCCACGAAAGTACCTATTTATCTTTTACTGAAAAAAAAAACAAACATAAAAAGTAGGTCAGATTCAGATATTTAAAGCAGGGTGAGATGAATTCCATCTTACAAGACTTCTCAGTTGCCAACGAAGTCAAAGACAAATTCTGAGTAATTTCAGTACTGAAAGATAAGGCCCGGAAAATTTTATGTCCTGTTAACAATGGTACCTGAGATGATGGACAATGAATGCCTTCTTTTCTAGCTCAGCAACTACTTCAGAAGACAAGTGACAATTAGTTATTACTGTCTGAAAGTAGTTTGGTAGTCTTGGAAAAATGAGAAATCCACTTGGCTCTTAATCTGTGTTCTCAGAGATGGCTTCATGATAGATGTCACTCACTGAATGGTCCCAGAGACTATAATACTCTTTCTCTTCTGGAGAGAATATCTTTGGAGCTTAATCTAACTATGATAGAACAAGTGTATCAAAGAAATGCTTTAAGGAGCTCATCAGCTATGAACTGGAAGTAACTATGTAAGGAACAAGGTCTTAGGAACAGACTGTTTAACTAAAGTTAAAGCTCAACATTTTCACACTAAGAATGAGATTAAAAGCATGCAAGCAAATAAACAAGGAGAGTAATATACATCTGATATGACTTAAAATTTGTCAATACTAATAGTGGCTAAATTGAGACAGGATGTTTTCCTGATTTGAGCCCAAAAATTATGATGATCTCTATATATACAGAAAACAAGAGTAAATGATCACAGCACTTTCTTCTGACTTTACAAACTATGCCATATTGACAAGGTTATAAAGTTGGGTTGTACCGTCACCATCCTGCAGAACTCTTTTTTTTCTGAAATCTTGATAACAGTTTTACAGTCACAACAGTTTGCTCAGTATAGTTTCTCAAATAAGGGTTAGAAGAAGATGTGAGTTTTTATAGAAAACAAAAAACTGGATTCATCTGCTGCTGTTAACTAGGCATTTGAAACTAAGACTAAAATGCACTAAGACACTATCCTTTTTCCCTAGTATTCCAAATTACAGCAGAACTCTTGGACTTCAGAATTCCTTCTTCAGCAGGACATGATGTATAACATTCTGAAAGACACTATAGAAATGCAAACTTTGCCTGATCTTACCTGAAAAAATATAAAAATAATATTCAGAAACTCCTGACAGGTAATTTACATTTTGTATGTTGGATACACTACAGTAACTATTATATTTTGCAGGCTAATTCTGTAGTGCAAGTTTAGTCTTTTTACATTTCATTTGCTGTCACAAGTGGTTAAATGACAGATAAAAAATTTACTTGATAATAATTGAGTGTGTCATCTGCTTTCAAAGGCTCACAGTTCCAAAACTGAGAAAGACTGAAAAAGGAGAAATGTATAGTGTCTCATTATACTTTATCTTTCAGGTAGCTAAATATTGTGACTAAAAGTCAGATTAGACAGCTTCATCTAGTGTCATGTTTTACAGAAGTGGAAAGACAAGTCACAGACGTTGACAAAGCTTTCTTCAGTACAGACTATTGAAAAAAATGCTTTAGTAAATCTGCTTGTAATTTTTCACGCTGTGTCCTGCTTTGGCACTGAACCATATGAAATTTACAAAAGCAACACCTGCAGCTCTCTAAATCACAGCCATTTGGAAAGCTGATGTCTACATATAACATTCTCACATTCAATCAACCTAAATATGTTAACGGTTAGGTGATTTATGGTGAATCCCTGAAGACATACACTAGGGAAAATATTTGCTTTGTCTCAAGATGTCTTTCTCTCTGAAGAACCTGTCATACCAGTCAGACTTTCAAACTATGCACTATAAACACTCTGGTGTAGTGCTGAGCAACTTCCTGGAAGTTACTAAATGCTTTCAACTCTTATTATCTTGTAGGAATTGAAGGAAGGTGACTATTTACAGGAAGAGCCGAGACCTTTCAAGAATAAAGTGCAAATTAATTCTATTAGCTTACATATTTGTAGTTACTTTTAGGTATATTTTGACATTTTCTATTTTTATTTCTTGACATAAAAGTATACTTGACTAGCAAACACTTTGCTATCACTTCCTTTAAGATTCTCA